CGGAAGTTGCTCTGCTTGGTAGAAAAGTAATCGTCAATCACAATTCAATTAGCAATCGTTAATATGATTGGCTTTACAAAACGACAATGAGCGACACGATATAATAGAGAGGGAAAAGGGCGGATGGGAAGCTTTATAAAAACGTTGATGCTTTTTTCCAAGCTTCTCATTTGCAACACGCAAAAGAAACGGTTCGAAGAAATTGTATTACGCGTTGCGTAACTGAGCGGCGCGTTCTGAATCGCAAATGATGAGATACATAAGGATGTGGCGTGGCACATAGGTAACTACGCTGACGGAGATGAACGTTCGTTTGAATGTAGAGAATCGAGAAAGAAAGGGAGAAAAGAAAAGATAACATCGATCGTCCGTCTTTCAATAGGCAAACATTACAACGCCGCGACGTGCAATGCGTGTTTTATAAAAAGTAATACCTTGTTCAATGTAATTTAGATTCATGTTCCCTGCTAGAAAAGATATATAAAAAAATAAGGAGTACAAAGAGAGAGAGAGAGAGAGAGAGAGAGAGAGAGAGAGAAAAGATTTTATCGATATATCTTTGAATATATACGCTCTCATTTGTGTGACAATGAATATTTATCATTGTAGTTTATGAGGCAATATTTTTCCCAATAAATTAAATTATTTATAATTCTCATGCTTAGATTAATATCAAATTATTGCTGTCCTTCGAAGATGCTTATTAGCATCAAAAATTATTAAATTGCTTATCAATTTAATATGTGATATTACCGGATTGGAAAAGCTATTTCATAAGTTATTTATAAGTTACTTTTAGATTACCTTATATATAATTTTTATAGAAATTGAAATAGTAATACAAAATTGGAGCAAATAATAAAATATAATATAAAAAATACAATAATATAATATAAAAAATAAAAATCCGAACGTATTGTACTCAATTTCTACAATAAAAAATAACATATAAGTAACTTATAAAGTAACTTTCTCAACCCTGGATATTATTATTCTAGATCTGCTTATGATTGCGTTGCAAGACTGAAAATAGTTTATTTCTCTCAATTTATTGATTTATTTTCGTCGATCTAACAGTTGTTGAAATTGTAATCAATAAACGTGTCAAAGTAGATTTAAAAATGTTAAAAAATTGTTTCCACTTATATTTTTATTAAACTTTGAATTATTTCAAAGCTGAAATAAAAAAAGTGAAAACCAGAGAATTTCAGATATAACTACGTTTTTCACTCATGGCAAGAATTTTGTCGTCACGATCGCGTGAAACCGTAAAAAAAGTCAAGACCACGGAAAGAAATAAAGAAAAATAACCAAGAGAGCGTGGAAGTGACGGCGGCCAATAAATCTATGGATTGCAAACCGATAATCGATAAATTGTCGACGATCGGACTTTTGCGGCGCTCTCCCTTCACCCACGTTAAATCTGCATGCACAGGGGTTTAACACCCTCTCTCGATTTATCTGTAGCTTCGCATCTCAAACTGGGTATAATAATTTGACATTAAGAATTTAATCAAGGCAATCCTAGAAAGAAAGAGATTTTTTAATGTTAGCCAAAAATTTAATTTTTTTCTTGGAAAGTTGAAAAAAAAATTTTTTTTTAGAATTGATAAATTTCTGTCACAGTCGGTTTTGAAAATTTTCGACATTTTCGTAAGGTGTGTACGAATACACTAATTAAACTTGTGTGACATTTAAACCGAATATTCCGAGAAATACGCGCGAACAGTTGAATACCCGGGAAAGTTTTCTAATATAAAATTGCATAAAGCGCTGCAATAATTTTGTAGAGAGCAGGAACATGAGGAAAAAGAAAGAAACGATCCGAGAGAAAAACTTCCATACAAAATTATACGATATCGAGCTCGTTATCTTGTAGTACATTACAATTTACTGTTAGGATTTCACTCCCTCGCTCGTTTCGTGGCTCACTTCCTTATATCGTTTAGGTACCCAAAGATTTTTTCGGTACACCGGCTTTTATTTCTACATTACAGTGTGTTCGAAAAGTGACGGAATTTCGAAGAAGAAGTCGTTTCATTAAATAATCAAAAGAAAATATAACGAAAAAAATAATTAACACTATAAGAAAAGGTGATATTCATAATCCGAACTTCTATTTAAGATCCTCATTTTAAGCTCAATGAACTCGCGGTCTTTATACCCGGATGAATTCGCATGAATTATGTGTGGAACGTAATTGCGTAATAAAAGCGACGGGGAAAGTTGAAATAAATGTCAATAGAACCATGTATGACCAACTGGAGCCAATAAATACGACAGTTTGCCTACGTCTCTCTCTCTCTCTCTCTCTCTCTCTCTCTCTCTCTCTCTCGCTCTCGCTCTCGCTCTTTTCATTTCACCTCAACACGCGACGACAGTTTACGCCCCATTACGCCGCGCTAACGAAAAAGCGCACTCGCCTTCGCTTGTAATATGCCACGAGCGGGTACTTTTCGCTTTTTATTATTAGAGCATTAATGATAATCATGTTTCTCACGTACGTTTTCTGTTGAAATCGTGGCGTATCGCACTGCGGCGCGTTGTCGGTTCTACGCGGATCGCGTTTGACTTGTTCGTTTTAAAGCTTGTTTGCCGTGAATATAAAGTTATGTATAAACATTATCCTATCAAAAGTGAATTTAATTTTATATACATTTTATGAATTTAACTTCATAAAAAATTCTCAAAACGTCATAATTTAAAAAGGATGGTTTTTAAGAGTTGTAAAATAAAAGTGAAAATGACATTTAATCATGTTATGAACGTATTCTTTGCCGATATATTATTTGATTAGTCAATAATTTTCTATCAAATTGAAAAACAGTTTTGCCCCTTTTCTAGGAAACTTAATTTTTTTAACAATATTAAGTAAAATTAAGTAAAATTTTTTGTAATTGTCTTGTTTAAGTTTATTTTATCCAAGTAATTTTTGTCTGGTGAAGTCATTAATATTACTTTGAGGACATTTCGATTTTTTAACTATCAACATATAGTCTGTAAGGGTATATCCACACAAACTTGCATAGCTGCATAAATGTATGCATAAAGAAAATTATCCAATCATATTTTATGTGCGTTTTTATAAGAGAAATGTGATTGGATAATTTTCTTTATACATACGTTTATGCGGCTATGCGAATTTGTATGGATATACAATAACACCCTTAACTCTTTACAACCTACGTATATAGTTTCTAAAGACTCTTCATCGCATAATATAATCGAGAAGAAAAAAAAGAACACGAGACTACGGCTAGGTTGTTCCACCTTTCGGTAAACTTTAGCTCACTGTCTTAAGGACTATTGCACGTAAAAGTATTAATTGTAACCGTAAGATCATAAAAAGCGATAAATTGATTGGCTACCAGGCAAGCGATAAGTCATCTGACTGTCTTCCGATTGATTATCGTAAGGATAAGGCGTTAATCGCAATTTTTCGACGGAACGAAAACTTGTACCTATAATCATGGCTTTGATTATGACGTTTCACTCGTGTTGCTTTTGCACAGAGGTTGCGACAATGCTTGGTCCCGACGCAGTATCCAATCAATTTATCGCTTTTTATGGTCTTACCATTACTACGACTTTTACGTGCAATGTTCCTTTACTCTCTTTTACTCTTTTGTTTATCCAGTAGGTAAATTACCACATAGTTTATCTGAAGATGGAACAATCGGCCCTACATGGACTAGAGTTGCGACACCTTTCCTTAATTTACATTCAAATTTTATCCTTTTAATTGTAGTCTCTTGTTTTTACATTATAAAGAGAATTTCATAATTATGCAAATTAAATTATGACTCGTCCCGATCTATCCAGAAAAGCATTAGCTTTTAAAAAAAGAAAAGAAAAAAAAAACAATAGCCGGATTTTCAATTGTTTCAGCTGGTGGATGACGACGGCAGCATCGACAAGGCTCTGATGAATTACTTATTCACCAAACAGATCGTGAAACGTCTCCGTAATCAGATGAACGTCAATGACTTGCAGCGCAAACGGAACTTCTGGAGGCAGTGCTCCCTCAACGCGGTGGCTTGCTTCGGTAAATAGGTGCACAGCAAGACAGAGGAAAAACAGGCGAGAGAGAGAGAGAGAGAGAGAGAGAGAGAAAGAGAGAGAGAAAGGCGCAAAGAGAGAAGATCATTACGTCCGCGTCATCGCCGGAAAGTTCAGGAAACTCTCGTAACACGATGGGATGCATTCCAAAGTCTACTCATTGATTAAAGTAAGGTTGAGCTTAAATATAGCTGACATTCATGATTGGTATTTATTTCCAGATATGTAACTGTTATGTTATATTACATTTATATTATTGAGTGAGATATTATAATGAAGACAACGCTTCTTAAATAATGTCTCCCGGAATACGAACTAACAGTAACATTACATTAATATTACTAATAGTAACATTACATCAATATTACAATTTCACAACTAACAGTAACATTACATTAATATTACAATTTCTCACTAAACAATATAAATGTAATATAACATATGTTGTATTATAATTGTAAGAATAGTTACATTACAGAGTAGGAAATTGTAACATTTAGATGATATTAAGATGCCAATATGGCTTAAAATAAGAATCGAATATGAATAGCGGTTGATGTCTTAAGATTGTGTGTGTGTGTGTATTTAGACAATTTTAACCCTTTGGTGCCACTCCTAGTGTGGCATGCCTACTCGAAGTTTTTTTTAGTTTGCCATCCCAAACAGAACAATAAGTCATGATATCAAAATAGTATCAAAGTGACTCTAAAATAATCTTTTATTATACATTAAAAATCATTTTTCAATCATTTTTGATTCTTTTTAATGTCATTTTGACGTTATCGTGACTTGTTGTTCTGCTTGGAATGCTATAACTTTTTTTTATTAATAAAGATATCCATATTGAATAAAAACGTGCAGCAATATTGCTGCGTTATTGCTTACAATTTGCGTTATATTCTTTATATTAATTTTTTACGTAATATTTATTATTACGTAAAAAATTATTACTTTTTAACATATTTATCTAACATATTCTATCTGAAACTAACACAAAAAGAGTGAACTGTTTAAATATATATTAAATTTAACACATTTTCAACTGTGTTTTTTGACTGTCCAACAAAAATTATTTTCAGGGATCTGTGTCTATAACTAAATTTTTAAATACTTTAACAATATTATTTTTTCATGTCGGACACTTCAATTAAAAAAATTGTTATAATATATCGATTTTAATGCAATATTTATTTTTCTGTGGTAGATAGGTGACAAAACAATGTAAAGTGGTACCAAAAGGTTAAATATAAGAATTGACTGCGAATAACGCTCAACCTTACTTGACGAGTACGTATATTTTCGAACGCACTCCTGAAAAATCCGCGTGGAAGGAATCAGCCCGCGCTGATAAATGAAAAACGCAACATGATTCGACTTTAATGGAAATTATTTGTCAACGATAATGATAATTATGATTTATCGCCGTTAAATTATACGTAACTTGACCCGTATTGCTGGTTCGTTTTACGCAATGTAATTCGTTTAATGAAATAATTCAATACATGAAATAATCTCCTACTGCAAAGTATTTAGCGCGAGTAATCTGTTTCATCGGGGACACCGAAAAATGTGTTTAAAGACCCAGGCTCCGACAAGGCAATAAAAATTTTGAATGAATTTTAACCACACGCTCTACGTAATGCAGCGTAATTCGTCGGAAATCGACTCTCCCTCGAACTTTCCAACGTATCTGACGTTTGTTAAAAAATTACAAAAACGCACCAGCCGGAAATGAGTGGCACGAATAAAAAGCACGACGGTATAGGAGTATATAAAAATCGGTGCACAAGTAATCTCTCTGTTAAAACGAAGCGTAGTAAATAAATATTGTGGAAACGAATTGGCCGAAAATAAACGTTGCGAATAAAAGATACGATATGATAAGAGTGTGAAAGAAACATCATAATTGCGCAAATGGTAAAAACGACGCAAGTTCGAAGATTCGATCATTCGAGTCTCGCTTTCTAAAAATGAATCAGTGACTTTAATACTATTTATAACTGATGTAATTATCAGCGATTTACTGTTTTTCAGTAATAATATTGATTCACTTTTAGAGAGCGATCCGGCAATTGCGTCAAGTACAGATTTCTATAGAAATACTTAAAGCATTACACTCTAAATTTCTTCAGTGAAATCTCACCCCAAGAAAGTGAAAATATAACCCTTCTCTTCTTGGAAAAAAAAAAGTAAAAATTCGCTCTAAAAAGAATGAAAATTATTATTCTTTTTCAAGAAGTGAAGTATTTTTACTTTTTTCAAATGGTTGTATTTTCGCTCTCTTGGAGTGAGATTTCACTGCAAGAAATTTAGAGTGTAAAATGCTATAGTTACGGATCAAACTGAGATGCCATTTGTATCCAGTAATCACATACAGAATAATGCCTTGAATGAGTGTTGGTGTTAACCTGTGAACATCATCTGGGACATAATTATATCTTTTGTACTTGTAAGTGAATAAAACTAAAAAATATTATTTTTTGTGTTTCAGTATTAATTATTTATTTTTCCTACTCTTTATTTTAATGTTATTTATTTTAAAATTATTTCAGTATTATATTCTTCTTGCTTTTTTCTCTTAAGTATTTTTGCATGAATATATGGAAAGATGCCTTATAAGTATTCAGTTCTTCAATGAGAATAAAATTTATAATCTCAACAAACATCAACTAATAGTACATAATTATTGATTATAATTTCAAACAATGTAACTTTTATGTATTATACAATTGTAATGTTATATTACAGTTGAGTGCGAAATTATAACTAACAGTTATGTTATTCTTAACTAGTGTTAGATGAGATTATATTTCTTTCGGAATGCTAGTTTGGTTGAGTAAAATGAGCGTCATCCCATCAAATTGGTAGAGAAATTTACTTTACGGAGATAGTGATTTAGATATTTCTATGGAAATCTGAACGATTATATATATATTTTTTCGCTGGTGTTCCCGAATCTTCTAGCAGAAGCAAGACGAGGAAAGAGAAAATCCTTCCTCTCATACTCTTAAGTTGTTTGAGCTTAGAGCTCTCAAGATTTAGCTATGAAAGTTACTTTCGTCGTCTGTTCTTTCCGGACCCCTCCCCTCGCCCCCATATCACAAAGCGAGAGAGCGAGAGAGCGAGAGAGCGGGAGAGAGAGAGAGAGAGAGAGAGAGAGAAAGAGAACACGGAAAAATAAATTTGTTTGCGTTGTTTGAAATCCCCCAAAATTTTTACACAAAAAAAAACAAGAAAAAATAAATATAGGTATATTTAGGCGTTAGAAAGAGAAAAAGCAAAGATTCTGAGTGCAAAAGCAACGCGAACAGACCTAACAATACGAATGGGTGAATCACGAACGATAAAATTACAACGACAAATGATAACGGAGAGCAGTGGGATTGTATAATCGCAGGATACATATCAGAAGATACTACGGACGACCACATGCCAAATCTAATTCTTCTTTCATGTTGTAAATCTACCGGCCACCAATCAACGCTGTTAACCACATCAATATATATTCGCGAATATATATTATATATATATATTTAATTAATGCGTATTTAATCTTATTTGCCAATGTGTCTCGCCTGTACACGTCACAAAATTCTATAAATGATTAAACTGTTATAATTGACTCCTCTCGATCGCATAAAGTATTTTTCACCCTTACCCGCCGATTAATTCATCATAAACACGGAAAGATAGATGTATCAATTAGGACAATTAATAGATATGACTCAACTATTATTATAGACGAAATAATAAGAATTTTGAATATTAAGCTTTTAATGATATATATTATACGATTCTAAATCAATTTGTTGTTTATAAAAATTTAAGAAGACTTAAATGTCAAGCTTTTGAAGATATATATGATTCTATAAATAAATTTTTATAATTTATTTATAATCCATTTATAAAAATTTATTTAGAACTTATATAATATATCTTTAAAAGCTTGATATTTAAAATTTGTCATTTTGTTAGTAGATATGACCCATAATTGGGTCATATCTATTAACAGGTATATTTATACATTACGTGTGGCAATAAAATTCGGTGAATATTATGAGAAAATTTATACCATTAAATTATACAAATAACCTTTATTATTCTTCAAAATAATCTTAACTTTAGATATTAAATCTTGTTATCACATAATAATAAGATTTAAGGCGATAAAAGATGACTTTTCACAAAGTTTCCACAAGCTGTACAAACTTCAGAAGTGTATCGTCTCTAGAAGGGGAGGGGGGGGGGGATTACTTTAAAGAACAATAAAGGTCATTTGTATATTAATTAAATGTTTATTTTCTCATAACATTTACCAAACTTTATTGCCACATCATCACGTATTATTGTAAATGTCGCGAATTTAATTCATCGCGACGTGTTACTTGTTTACGATCCTGCGTGAGTTTAATCGTCAAAATATCACTTAGCAAATTGGGTCTGCTGGTAATTTGCTAATTGTATGGTTACATTTTTCGCATATTAGTTATCCCTAAAAAAAACCTCTTTAAAAAAAAATGTACGTCAAGGTATATCATAAAAATATTGTTAATATTTAGAGGCCAAGATATGCATAAAAAAGATATCAAATATTACATTATTTTTAATACAAACGAATACGAAAGATGCTATTAACCAAGTATTTCATAACGTAAGATACATAAGACAAATTAAAAGTGATTAAATGGTCAATTGGATTATAGTGAAGAAAAAACTTGGCGTGTCCGGGTCGCATTAAAACATAATATTTTAGGATATATTTTCATAGTATGGAAATTATTTACAATATGAATTAATAAAAAGGTTATTATACATACAATGTTCAAATATACACAATATATGAAAATAATATCAGATTCATGATGACAAGATGTGATTTTATAGACTTTGTGTTTTTTTTATATTATTTATAATTGATTAATTTAATTTAAGTACACATTAATTTACGTTATCTGTTCTATTTAATTATATTTATATGTAACATTGAGGATGACTCGATCGGGCTCGAAACGATGTCTGTTATTGGTTATTTGCTTTAGAGCATGATA